GTCTTATTATATATATATATATATATATATGTTTAATAATCAATTTTCTTTATCTTGACCCAAGACAAAATCTCTTGAGCAGCAATAATAAGATAATACCGTGAAAATAAACAAAGAACTTTACATGCAAACAGCAATTTAAAACAATACTGTTATCCATTATCATAATTAAGATATTAGGGTATCATATGATAGACACAAAAGATAGTAATTAAGATATCATATAAATAAAGTTCTTTGCAAATAATATTATCTAACAGACAGAAATAATGGAAATGGAAATTTCTGTGAAATATTTATACGTACTATTTATATATATATTTTATTATACACAGTTTTTTATCTCTGTGTTTTTACATAAAGTTGTTTTTCTAGATAGAAAAACAACTTTAAAACAAGGTTATAAATTTTTATGTCAAGATAAGACACATTTCAAACAGTCTTAAACTTCATTGAGAACAAATAAAGTTTGTATGATGCATATAATACTTACCATGGAATAAACATAAACCTATCACATTTACCAGCAAACCAAGTGCTCCAACTCCAACAAGTAGTTTTGCTTCATGTATTTCTTCTACCTCAATAAATCTCTTACACGCCTCCACAGTAATACTAAAACATAAAGCGACTAAGAAAACAGCATTTACCAAAGCCCCTAATACTTCAGCTCTGGCCCAACCAAAGGTGTTCTTGGACCATTTCTTCGGTGACATCTATATAAAAAAAAAAAATCAATAATATAATAAACTTTAGCAAACTTTCAACAACAAATTTCAAAACAACTGCAAAACTTACCTTCACTGAAAGAAATGCGACTACCAAAGCGGCTACATCTGATAACATATGAAAACTGTCTGCTATTAAAGCCATTGAGTTAGTTACGTAACCAACTACAATTTCGACTAAAAAGAATAAAGCTGTTAGCCATAACATTGTCAAAAGACGACATTTTTTTCCTGTGTAACGACCCATGATATCTGTGCAGACCTAAAAAGATAAGAAATATGATCATTTATAACAAAATAGAATATGCATGTTGCCTTGAAATAATCTATAACTATATAAAATTATATAAAAGAAGTTCCTGACATGTCCATCCATACATATATATTTCTATGACACTTTGAATTTATGAGTTTAGATGCAAATATAAATAAAAAAGAAAAAGGTGTATATTGAATGTGTTCAAAATATATCACAAAGAAATAAACATATACTATTGGAAAACATTTTTCTTGTCGCTATCATAGCATCAAATATCAAAATAAGAGATGAAGAGATAACATCAAATATAAAAAGTTTTAAAAAAAAAAAACTAAGTGCTTAAAGTAAAATCAAAAAATATCCAATATTATTTGTTTATTAAGGTCAAATGAATTTTCGATGATTATATTTCTCTGATATAAGAAACAGCATCACGACATACACAGATTTTTCACCCGGATATCTCGTTCGGGGACGATCGATGGAGAACGATAAGATCGTGCGCTATACACACGTGCACTTCAAGTTATCGCATGTTAAAACAATTTCCTTATATCCGTACGCCATAAATCTGGCATCAGGAAAGGGAGGGAGAAAGAGAAACGAATATGAATCACGGTGGACTGGCAAGAAAGACACATGATTCATCGCACGGAAAAAAAATCATGCGCTACGAATTGAGAAAGCTTCGGAGTACTGACGAGATCACACAATAAGAAACCGCCGCCGGTCCCGGATAAAAATTTTCATTCGACTATCATGGGCTCGAAAAGATAATAGAAGAATTCTAATATTACCGATATTATCCTAGTCCGACATAAATCTCCGAACGTTTGATCCATGTAATACGGAATTAATTCTATAATTTTCAATGTTTTATTATACACACATTAAAATATTAGACATATATATATATATATATATATATGTATACACGTATATAAATGTAATGACGAAATACTGAAGAATTATAAAATTATAAAATAAACAATTAAAAAATGTATATATTTACATAAGTATAATTTACAAAATTACAAATTTTTGTATGTCAATGTACACGTGTGGGTATCCATATATATATATAAAAACAAATAGTTTTGCAATACAAAGTATTCATAAATATCGATATCAACACACACGCGCGCGCACACACACACACACGCACGCACATACACACACACACACACACACACAAAATGCAAATTTATATGTACATATATACACAAAATTTCTGCGATACAAATTAATTGGTAATACCAATGATTCTCGATTATCTCCGAATCTAACTGACAATCATAGAAAATTTATTTAGGATCGGCGGTCTTCATTGATATCTCATCAGCGCGCTAGATCTCCGAAAACAAAAAAAAAATATTGGGCAAAGGAGGGAGGGGAAAAAAAGGTATGCACGCCAGGCTCACCTATACGAGGTAAAATTCGTCCGTGTCCGTTCGCCGTTTTCACCTTCGCGCTCGCCGCCCGATCGTATCAAGTGACACTAATTGAACACGGCGTGTGAAGGAACGTTTCTGAACATGTTCCGTTGCGCGATCACGCGTACGCGCAAAACGCATCGCTGGCAGGTACAGACAAGGCACACAACGAGGATTCACGACGCATCGCGGCGTCCACGAATAATGACGGCCAACTGAGCCCTCGTCCTCGCACGCCACGATGAACGAGGCAGCACGAAGACGCCGTCGGGTACCTCGAGTAAAAATACGAACAGACAAAACCGCGAATGAGACAAAACCGCGAATGAGACAAAACCGCGAATGAGACAAAACCGCGAATGAGACAAAACCGCGAATGAGACAAAACCGGAAACGCGCGTCGAGCGCGCGCACTTTCAAATATGTTCCGAAGGATAAAACTGTAAATTGTACGTACAACCATAATTTTATATTTGTAAATTAAAGGATATGGGAACATATGGGCAGAGTATAAATAAATAAAAAGAGAAGGAGAATAACAGTGAATTGTTTCATTAAAAATAGGACTTCAGAAGCAGTAGCTGCGAATATTGAAAGCGATATTTTAAGCCTTTCTTTTCTGGAGTATTAAAAGCATTTTCATACGAAATGCGTAGTATCTTTTCATTTTATATTTCTACATCAAAATGTACCTGAAATAATATACAACATACACCGTTGTATGATTTATCAACATTCAAAGATTACAAAAGTAAATGCTTACTAACCTCGCATAACAATTATTATAAGATGAAGTCTAATTTTGTTGTCCTATGTTTTCAGTCCAAATTTTTTGTCTCTTTGGATCTCGTGAAAAACAGCATGTTTTAAACCTTTTTTGGCTAAGTTGTGTAAGAATCTGCTATACAGCCAAGCATTGGGTGCTTTCCATTTAGTGACACAAGTCGACACAAATATGATTTTGTCCTTGTTAATCATTAAAAACTAAGGAAGCTAGAACGATATTTGTATCGACTTGTGTCACTAAATGGAAAGCACCCATTGTAACTTGACAGCTAGAGCTTTTAATTAGAATGTATCACACACATGTATCACTATACATACACATCATACACACACACACACACACGCGCGTAATTCATGCAATTTCCGCTTTTTCTTCAATTTAGAACCAATCATTATCTTATTGTCCGTACTCTTATGTCGGTATTCATAATCTTCTTTAAGATCATCTTAAGTCAGTTTCAGATTATCTTAAGAGCCTACTTAGCCAATGAAATAGCCGCGTAGCACTTGAGCTTGTGCTTAAAATAATCTTAAATGTATAATCTGAATACCAGTTTTACTTGAGGTATTCTAACTAGTTTCTTTTTCGCTGGTTGCATTAATTCACAGTTTACCTTTCTTTCTTTATATTGGAAGAAGAAAGATAAACTCTTCAATTGAGTATTTTGAAATGAAGTGAAAATTAGAAAAGTGAGGAAACTTACTAACTTTTGACAAATGAAATTGCAGATGATTCCAGTGAATTATCTCATTTGTAATTTTCACTTTGCTTTAATCCCGATTTACAATAGGTGATTTAAACCTTAAGCTGTAAGAAATGGACAAATCATAATCGAAGAACAGGAGAATAATCGATTGATTAAAGTACACGATCGCCTCTTTGAATTAGTGTAATCAGTTCAGTTAAAAAGAACAGACCTACTGTTTGCGTTCGTAAACCAGATTTCATTCTCGCAATCGATCAATCGTATCGCGATCGATCAATCGACAGTGCGTTCAGAAATAACACCCGACTGTACGTAACTAACATTCGATGAAAAACAAGAATAAAATTATATATCCGAATGTAGGATATGGAATTCTAGGAACCATACGAGTCATCAACAGCAAAACTTAAAATTGATGATTTTTAATCTAATTTCATAATTATTTTAATTAGTATTCTTTAATTATTATTTAAAAGTATTATATATTATTTAAAAGTATTTTACATAAATAAATCAAAATTTGAAGACGATCGATAAAAAACAAACTAGTATAAGTTTTAAGTTTTGCAGTTAACAATTTATAAATTTAATTAACTGATTAGAGAGAGGTCTTAGATCCAAATTTTAAATTCCCTTTTATTGATAAAACTAATTTTAAAAACGGTTTATAAGACTTTTAATTAGCTATAAATCACTTCTAGAAGTATTTTTATTGATAAAGGAGAATTCAGAATATATATGAATGATAAAAAAATATGAAAATTTATATATGGACAATTCATATTATTTTTATACGAACATATGTTGTTAATGAATAAAACAAATGTTTCAGCAAAAAATTAATAGTTAATTAATTAAAAAAATGATTGGCTAATTGTCCAACTGTCTCGACTAAATGTCAATCGTTTGACAAACGATTTTGCAATATCAATTGATTAATTTATAGACTAAATGATAAAAAATACTATAGACTATCTCAAGATACTTATAATTTGCAAAAAAATACAAAGCTTTTTATTCATATCAAATAAAAAAAAATCTAACGATTCATCGAATTATAGAGTTTTAAGAAGGTTGGTTCAAAATATTAAATCTTTCCCGTTATTAATGTTTCTGATTAAACCATTGATCAATATGAACTAAGTCAAGTAGAAGTTCTTAAAGTAACATAAAATAAAATGATAAAGTAAATATATTTATTTAAAGTTAAGAATCAAAAAGCAATTATAAATAAAAGCATATTTATACGTACTTCCAAAACTATGTATATGAAGAAAAAAATTGTTACATAAAGAAAACTGTACACTTAATTTTTTCTTCTCTATTTTCTTTATATTTATTGAGATCAATGTAAACTAATTCATTTTTATATTAAACGTGAATATCCTTTTCTAAAAACAAAATCCGATATTACTATCCATAGAACGGTAATTTACAAATCTCACATTAGAATAAAAAAATTGACGCACTGTTTTTTCTAAAAATAATCTACGACCTCTCAATACCTTCCATAAAACATAAATTATGTTTATGATTATTATCAGTCTACTTATAACTTATTTTATAAATGTTCTTCATAGGAATGGCAGGGTAAAAAAGATAAATCTTAATATATCTAAACAAACTTAATTTTACATTACGTATTCAATTACGATAGATAGATGTTTCGTATGACGACAATAGTAATGTCAAAATATCAAGGAACAACTGAACTAAAACTATTTATAAATAGTTTTTTTGACGATAGACATTAAATAAAAAAAATGAAAATACTTTTTATTTAATATCAACGAAAGAGAAAATGTTTCTTATATGTGCTCCATATCGTGCGAGTATAAAAATAAAATGTAACATTTCGAAATTCCAACACGCGCGAAATTCTAATACGTTCTTCTACGTTTTGTTGCAGTATTTAGTATAGCTTACTCATGTTTTCTCATAAAATGCAAAAATAATTCACTATGAATGAATATTTTTTTTGTTAGACGAAGTATAATCTTTACAGCATGTAACGTTTTAGTTCAGGGAATAGCTTAAATTTGTATTCCTATAAAATGTTTATAGGTATCGAAATGTAATTTTGTGAACTACACCTTGAAATGTAATTTTTTTTTGTAGGATATTTCGCCTAGCCCTGTAATACCACTGCCGGGTTAAGGATAAACAGGGTCTAGAATATCATACATTTGAATTTATTACAAAGTCACATTTATTATCTCGATTCAGCTATCTCAGCATCATCGATAATACGAATCTGGTAATTCTATATACAATCTACCGAAATAAACGCAATAATCGGTAGTAATAGCAATAGCGTCTCTCAAATCTTTTCAAAACTCCCTCTCCTTTTTTTACTTTCACCTCGTTGATATATTTTTTTTTTTTTTAATAAGTGTGCTGAAAAATCGGTATAAATGTAACCTACGAAAAGGAGTAATATTACCGCGTTAATAGTCAATTGTAGCTTAGACAAAATTTGGAAGAACTGTAACGCCATTACTTTTTTTTCTTTTTCTTTACGTTTCTCTACTTCTACTATTACCAACGCTATTTTATCTGGTAGTTTTTAGAAAATCGAACGGATACTCGTTAAATAAGTATATCACGAGTACGAGATCGATTAAACACGTCACAGTTTATAGCTCGAGCACCATTTGGCTAATGTCAATAATAATTAGCAAATTGAACAAATGAAATTTCGACAAGTCTAAAATCGCTACGTCTCACTTCTCTCTTTGTATCTCAATTTGCTATCATTTACCCTACGTCGCGACATTGTCGATAAACTTCAATTGATATTGAATATGATCTAATGCTAATCACTTACATCTAAATCACTACCATCGGGTATTATCAACGATGAGCGTTCACTTAATTTCTCTCACTGCATCGTGCGATGTTGGCGACTACGGCACTTGACTAATACTGACGCACTGTTCTTCCCCCCCCTCCCCTAAACTCCTACCTTAAACGCTATCATCACATCTAACGATAAATTTAATTCAAATAACGGTTTTCCCTATTTTATCTATCAATATTCTCAATTGTCCTAGTCACCAAAATCGTATTTGAAACAGCAATAAAATTTGTTTATATAGAGTGCTACAGGTCTTCCACAATTTTTCTAAGATAAGTAATAATTAGTTCGTAATAGTTTTGCTAACCAGCGACCATCCGCCCTACTTGGCTTGGGTTGGGATCGGGGAGACGTAGGGCGGCGGTATGGTACCTATTTTTTTTGATTGGTATCGATCTAAATATAGTATTTGGACGAAGTGCGAGGATGGGTCGTGCGTGCGTTTGCTTTCTAAATCGAGCGTGCGCAAATCCTTATAATCTTTTTTTTTTTTACTTGTAGCCGTAAGCTTTACTTTCTTGTTTCCTTGACCAGAGTTATCTTATGATTTATTTTCGTTAATAATTAATTTACTCGATACGTATATTCTCGGAAAGAAGAAGAAAAGAACATTGTTATTGCATATGATTAAAAAACAGTGGCGAAAATCATGGAACAGCCCTGAGAGAGAGCGAACAACGCGCCTGGGAGTAGTGCATGTACGTGCGTGCGTATGTGTGTTAATTGGGTGTGTGTGGTGTGTGTGTGTGTGTGTGTGTGTGAGACATATGAATTTCATGAAAATGAATGTTTCACTTAACGTGTAAATTGCGAATTTACTTATAATTTACTTCTTTAATGTTTATTTAACCTCAAGTCTTAAGAGTCGTGTGACGCGAATCCGTGCACCCATGCCTCGAGTTTGTATACAAGTGACAACCTTCTACACTGAATATCGACACTTCTGCAACAGAATCAAGAGTCAATCACGTGAGACAACGTATCTTACAATAACATTCAATGGTGCGTTGCGTGCGATATTACAAAAATCTTACCATCAGGTAATTCATATAATTTCCTAGGAAGAGAGGCGAAATAGGGATGTCTTAATGCTTCCTCCGCTCCTATCCGTTGATCAGGATTCAATTGTAATAGCAATGACGCCATACTATCGCCCTCGGCAATGTCATAAAGCCGAGGAAACGAGAGTCCCAGTTTTCGCGGCGGATAAAATATCAGTCTGTGTGCTTTATACCCGGGCAGATGCGTGACCCCTGGCCAAGTCTCCTCGGTGGGTGTGCCTAGCACCTTAAATATCTTATCGAGTTGGTCGTACGTGCAGCGTACACCTGGGAATGTCGGTTCGCCAGTCAACATTTCCACAAATATGCAACCTACTCCCCACATGTCAAGCGAGGTGGAATATTCTGTGGAACCTAAAAGAACGTCGGGTGGTCTATACCATAAGGTCACAACTTCGTGCGAGTATGTATGCGATGGCACGGATTTGGCCCTTGCTAGTCCAAAGTCTGCCAATTTAAGTTCTCCTATCTCGCTGATTAATAAATTCTGTGGCTTTACGTCCCTGTGTAGAACCCTCCTAAAATATAACAAATAAAGTAAAACAAGTTAATCCATGAATATCGAGATGAACATCGACATTATATACTATATATGTATTTGTGATTACCTGCGATGACAGTATGCCAGTCCTCTTAATAATTGAAAAAGAAATAATTTAACATTACGCGGATCCAGTCCTCCATTTCCGCTTCCATACCTCTCCATATATTGCGATAGATCGGTGTGAACGTATTCAAATACGAACGTGAGCGTTTCGCGAGTATGAATGATATCGTGTAAGGTCACGATATTGCTATGTTTTAATTCTTTGAGGAGACTTGCCTCACGAATGGCAGTAAACGGAGCTCCTTCCTCCTCTTGCAGTCTAATTTCTTTAAGAGCCACCACTTGATTAGTGAGATGGCTGTATCCTTTGAACACTGTGGCATATGATCCCTCTCCTAACTGCTCCAATTTTATATAAGCTTCGGATTTTCCGAACGGCGAATCTCCCTGTTAAGATATAAATTGATATTAATTATACTCTACTACAGGATAAGTACAAATGAATATGCATAAGTACAAATGAATATGTATTCATTTACCCCAAAAGCGGAAAATCTTTTGGTTCTTCTAGGTGGATCTGGACCAAGGAAAACCTCAGATTTGGGCCGCGGTGGACGTCGGGGTCGCAGGATTACCCTAGCTTCTTCTCGTATGTCTTCATCGAGAAGTTTGGAATCGCTTGAAACCGAAAGCTGCCGGTGCACTCTCTCGTGATCGCCCACACCTGTCCATTCTATGACAATCCAATTTCCGAAAACATTCTTAAAATAACAGTAATAGAGATACATAAAATTGCTGATTTTTATAAAATTTGAAAATAAAATATTGTATTTTTTGTATGTAATTATATACAGGATGTCTCAAAATTCCCTTTTCTTCCAAGTTCTTCTGACAAGTTCTGTAGAACATGAAAATTAAAATTAAAACTTTTATATGGAAATGTCAAGGCTGTAATAGCTTTTAAACGGGAAGCATTTAAAACCAATCGGTTTGCGGAAAATTCACGCGAATCGTATTGTTAATACGATACGTCACATAGTAAAGAAGACACTTACACATTGTTTCAATTTAATTCTATTCAAATATTGTAAAAAAATTTCCTGAGAATTCCAGATTTTTCAGATTTTTTTCAAAAGGCAGACACTCTAAGTTTTTAAATATTAATATAATTCTGTATACAATAATAAAAAAATTACTTTTAAGCTTTGTCATATTTACACATGATTGTTCAATTTATTATACATAAAGATTAATGTCAAAAAATAATATTACTCAAATTGAAATATTTATTAAATTATTGAAACTATCATTGCCACTATTATTATCATCATTATCACATTAAAAATGAGTCATGAACAGACGAACGAATGTAGGTACGAGTCAATACAAAAACATCTTCTGCTATGTAAAATGCCATATCTGAATGCATGAATTTTTTGCAGATTAGACAACTTTAAATAATTTTAATTTAAAAATTATGATAGCCTGAATATTTTTGTATTAGATTTTTCGTCTTAAAATGTTTTATAGAATCTGTCAGTGAAAGAGAATATCCAATGATTTTGTGAAATCTTTTTATATGTGTGTATATATATGTACACATATAAAAATTAGTTTAAAATGGCTTTATAAAGTATATGGCATTAATTAAACTTATATTTTGTATTATAATAAAAAGTAAACTAAATCTTTTATTTTTGTTCATTATTCAAAAGAATGGAAATATATATTAGATGCACATATTTTTAAACAAAAACTCACCGTATCGACGATCTTTGTCCGCAGGTATATTGCCATTTGGCTCCAAACGGTCTAGGAACTCCTCAGAATAGCCATTGTATGGCAATTGACCTCTGGTCGCTGCATCATCAGCCTCTTCTTTTGATATAGCTGTAATAAAATAAATGATATTTAAATGTATGATATTTATAGCAATAATTATTTAATTAACAAACAACTAATGACTTAATCTTCTTAAATTATTTTATTCAACATCATGATGTTTTTAAGACCTATTTATATTAATTAAGACCATAAAATGTCATATTGTTTAATCATAATTTGCATAATCATTTATCAGATATTAATTATCTGTTAATATTAGATATATAAAGGATAATAATATTTAAATCTTAGTGACAATTATTTTATCTACATAAAAATAATTATCTAAATAAAAAATACTTACAAAGTCGTCCAAAACTGTGACTAAGGCGTTTTTTTAATTTTTGTACTCTGCTGAGAGCACCGCCTTTCTTCTCTCGCATTGTCACAGGCCCTGTATATAACAAGTATAATATTTAAACCACTATAATTTGATACTTTGTGTGTAAGTTTAAACAGCGTGAGATCATAACAGAAGGCCAAGAGTTATTCAGATATAATAGATCATTTATGATGATATCACTCTATGTTACGTCAGATGTGTGTGTGTGTGTGTGTGTGTGTGTATAAAACATTCAAAATGATAATACAAGAAACTTAACACGATAAGAATTTATATGATAAAAAATATGTATGTAATCATACGTATGTATTATGCAACACAATTGTCAGGAAAAGATCTTTTTTTTATTAATGATATAATTAATAACAAGAACTATCAATAATAAAGTAAAATTTTTTCCTATTAAAAGTATTCCTATTAAAATAACAATAATATATAAAATAAAATATAAAAAACTTAAATAAGGCTTTAACTCAAACCAAAAAATTTATCTGTCCAGACTGTTGATGATTCATCAATGTAGAAGATAGTAGTCTTTCAAATGTAAAAGTATGTGTTCTGAAGTATGTACTTTCCAAGTGTTTTATCAATTTGTTTGAACTAGCCAATTATTATTTTCTTGGAGCAAGCTACATAAATAAAGCAAATTCACGGAAACGCTCACCCCGATACGATAAAAACTTTGAGAAACCGCCGTATGTGTGCGATACATAACATGCCATTCATACAAACACACACACACATACACATACAAATATAACACAGTTATGCATATACAAGTATGCACCGTAGTAGCGTGGAGAGGTCGACGAACTAATAAATTAGTTTTACGCGTCTAATAACCATGGACAAATCTCTAGCCGAAATGTTCAATTGTCAAATGACGTGGATTCCTTCGCGCTGACACACAAAAGATCGCGTCACACTCGTCGCACGATTTGAAAAGCCAGCCTGATCTCGCAGAGCCGCGAGATCGAAATTGATAAGTGTGCGCATTCCTCTTCTCCGTGGCCAACAGTGTATCAAGATATCGGGCGATATCGCGCCGGGTGAGAGAAGCGTTTGATGATTTCTCTTTCCTAAGTTGCACACTGCAGTTTCGCCCCTCTTTCGTCATCCGTAAACGCGATACCTTGCGCTCTCTCTCTCTCTCTCTCTCTCTTCTTCTTCTCTTCTTCTCTCTCACTCACTATTTA